TTTTTTTTTTTTGAGATAGGGTCTGGCTGGCCTTGAACTCACTGTGTAGTGCAGGCCTGCCTCAAACTCACAGTATGCTCCTAGCTCAGATCCCTAGTTCCAGGACTAAGGAATGTACCACCACACCCAGGAAAGTTCACACTATTGGTGTGTACAAAAGTTATGCATATCTTAATGTTGATTTTATATATTGCCCTGTGTTTTTTTGCACCGGGGATCAAACTTGGGACCTTACACTTGCAAAGCAGGTGGTGGCACCACTGGACTAAATCCCCTGCCCGCCCTGTGTTTTTATAACCGTTGTCATTCCTGTCTCACAAGAGGGACCCGGGGCACAGAGGTGTTAAGTAACGTGTTCAGTGTCACACAGCAAGCAAGTGATGGAGACCTCACTGCGTTCTGAGCTGACTGAGAGCTAAACGGGCGGCTCCACGATCTGAGGGGTTCACACCAAGTCCAGCAGGACATTTCTCCAGTCCCAGCGGCACCCCGGCTTCCTGTGTGGGGCTGAAAGGAGGGATGGGGAGACATCCCCTGGGGCTGGGGGAGCCGGGGGAGGGAGCGTCCCAGGCAACGAGTGCCCCTGCTGCGGGAGGGTGCGGGGCCGGCCGCTCACCCTGTCACCCTCTTCTGTCCTCAGTGGCAGGGGCGCTCATCGCTGACTTCCTGTCCGGCCTGGTGCACTGGGGGGCCGACACGTGGGGCTCCGTGGAGCTGCCCATCGTGGGGAAGGTGCGTATGTCGGGCTGCGTGGCCTTGGGTGAGTCCCCTTTCCTCTCTAAGCCTCAGTTGCCCGGTCGGGGAGATGGGAAGCGTCGTTCTAGCCTGGCCTTCGCATGTCCTCCAAGGCCAGGGCGGGAATCTCCCGGGATTGATGGACACAGAAGCAGCAGGCCTGGGATGGTCGGAGAGCTCCGCCGTGTGCCTGCCTTCTGCGTAGAGACCATGTCTTGCTCTTCCTCTCCTTCCCTAGTCCATCCATTTGTTTTCATTGGGGTTTTTTCCAGTAATGGGGACAGAACGCAGGGTCTTTGCACAGAATTATATCCCCAGCCTTTTTTTTTTTTTTTTTTTTTCCGGTTTCAACATAATCTTGCTTCATTACTCAGGCTAGACTCATACTTGTAATCTTCCTGCCTCAGCCTCCCAGGGCACTGGGATTACAGGCATGTTCCACCATACCTGGCTTTAAATTGGATTTTATCTTGTGTCGGTGAAATTTTTTTGGTGGCGAAAGAAAATCTAATCCATACTGTTCTATTCTGCTCACACAAGGTTTCAGATTCACAGACCTGAAACTCTCAGGGGAAGCCGAATTAAGTGATGGTGGGCCCTGGGGTCCAGCCGTCAGTATCCCCTCTTCCTGTCTCTCCGTCTCTGTCTCCGATTCCCTCTCACAAGTGGTCAGCCCGCCTCCTGGAGTCTGCCCCGTCAGAACAGCTTGTAGGGACAGGAGGGCAGCTGCCCCCCGGAGGAGGGACTCAGATGCTGGGGACCCCAAGACGGTCCCTGTCTGTTACCTTACGGGCCTTCATATGTCTCAGGGTGGAGGAGCAGGGCCCAGGTTATCTCCAAACCCTTGGGGGAAGGGTACTGCTGGGGTCATTTCAACCCATGTCCACCACAGCTGTAGACCATGACCTTGAAGGCTGAGCAGAGGCCGTGTCGGTGGGGTGGGAGGAGCGAGGGCAGGCGCGTTTCCTGCCGGAGAGCACTGGGCACTGTGGCTGACCGGTGAGTGGTGCCCGACCTGCTGCAGGCGTTCATCCGCCCCTTCCGGGAGCACCACATCGACCCCACGGCCATCACAAGGCACGACTTCATCGAGACCAACGGCGACAACTGCCTGGTGACGCTGCTGCCACTGCTCAACATGGCCTACAAGTTCCACACCCACAGCACAGGTAAGGCCAGCCGGTCGGTGCAGCGCCCGCAGGGGCATCAGGGAGAGACCCCCCCAGGAGGCTTCTGGGGCTTGCAGGTATGAGCGGGGCTGCTCGCGGTGTTTATTTCTTTTATTTTTGAGACAGGGAGATCAGGCTGCTCTCAAACTCGCAGCGATCCCCTTGCCTCAGCCTCCCAAGTGCTGGGATTACAGGCATGCAACACATCACTCAGCCTGCTCGCAGTGATTTAAAATATTCTCTCCAAGGCTGGGGATTTAGCTCCGTGGTGCCACCACCTGCCTCACAAGCGCAAGGACCAGAGTTCAATCCCTGGTACCAAAAAATAAAATAAAATATTCTCTCCAGTCATCTTCACATAAAATTGAAGTATTTTACTCTAGAAGGCTGACGCAGGAAGATCTCAAGTTCGAGGCCAGCATGTACTTAGTGAGACCTGTCTCAAACTAAAAGGGCGGGTGATGTGGCTTAGTGCAGAGGTTCTAGTTCAGTCCCCAGTGCCTCAAAGCCGGGGTGGGAATGGGAGGTATTTTTCATAAATACCTGGGTTCCTGCTTCTCTCTGGCAACCCCATCTGTCAGGGGCTGGGGCCACCTGGGTCTCTGTCCCTGCCTGGCTTCACTAAGCTGGCACCAAACGGTAGCCACCTCCTGTGACAAGACACATGTGCCCGGTTGACCTAACTCCTCACTAATGCCTGCTCTTTGCCCCTGAGCCGCCATGTTTGTCTGCAGTACCTGCCTGCCCTGAGGCTTTGGGCAGGAGGGGCACAGGCTGCGGCTCGGTGTAGAGCACTTGCCCAGGGTGCACGAGGCCCAGGTCTCCATCCCTAGCATTGCCCGGAAGAAATGCCAGGAATTGAGGCCTCAGTGCTGCCTGTCTGGGAGGGTCGCGTCCCCCAGTCCGGCCAGCAAGCACGGGGCCTCGTCCTGGCCTAAGAGCTCGCACCTCACCGATACTGTGGGGAGGCTGCGAGGATCTGTGGGCGGTGGTGCCCTCCCTGCCACCCCTCCTGCACCGACCTGGCGGGGAGGTCCCGATTCACCCCTCGGGGTGAGTCTGGATGGGCCAGCTTTAGAGGTAGTGGCACCCAGAGCCCCGCCCCCCAGGTCAGGCTGAAACTCCCTGGATAAATCACATGCATGTAAACTGCCCAGGCTCTGCTTTCTGGGCAAAAGCCTTAATCCCACTTTATGATGAAGAGAGGGAGACTCACAGCCAGGAATGGTGGCACATGGGTCTAATCCCAGAACTTTGGAGGCTGAGGCAGGAGAATCACCTTGAGGCCAGTCTGGGCCACATAATGAGTTCAAGGCAAGCCAGTGAGACCCTGTCCCAGAAAAGGAAAAAAAAAAAAAAAAGCTAAAGAAATTGAAAGTCAAAGAGCAGAGTCCTCAGCCTGAGCCAATACAACCAGGGAGTGAGGGCAGGGACCTGGGCCGGGCCCTTGCTGAGCCATCGCTCATGACCCTCCATTGTCTGCTGCCCAGGGATGGTGGGGACACCCCACCCCATGTGACAGCTCTGTGGGTCCCCTCCTGCCTCCTGCAGAAGCCCTGGAGCAGCTGTACCCCTGGGAATGCTTCGTCTTCTGCCTGATCATCTTCGGCACCTTCACCAACCAGATCCACAAGTGGTCACACACATACTTCGGGCTGCCACGCTGGGTCACCCTCCTGCAGGACTGGCACATCATCCTGCCACGTAAACACCACCGCATCCACCATGTCTCACCCCACGAGACCTACTTCTGCATCACCACAGGTGTGGCGCTGGCTCCAGCTGCTGTGCCATCTGTGGGGTCAGAGGTCACAGTGGGAGGTCCTACAGTTCTGGCCCTCAGGTTGTTCTCAGAACACACGTCCAGGCAGAGGCTCACCTATGTGGGAGGCTGAGGCAGGAGGATCTCTGAATTTGAGGCCAGGCTGGGCTACATAGGGAGACCCTGACTCAAAAACACAAAAAATAAAAGGCTGGGGCTATAGCTTGGTGGCAGAGCACCCCTAGGTTCCCTCCCCAACACTCAAAGTCAGGCCGCCCCGGGGGTGCCTCCAGCCATCCTGTGTGTGCCTTCAGGACACTCCTGGTGCCGGTCACTTTCGTCGCCACAAGTCGGGGTCTCAGCGCCCCTCCTCGGGGCCGAAGTAGAAATAGGGAGCTGGCTGAGTCCAGTGCTCCATGCACAGTAAGGTGTTTCGTAAGCCACTGCTGCAGTGCTGGGTTTCTGCGTCTTTGCGGAGGTGGAAGAATGAGCCACGACATTCTCTGCACATTCGAAAGCCCCTCTCCTCGGAGGGCAGGTTTGGGGCTAAGACTGAGGTCGTTTAGGAGGAGAGTTAACCGCCTACTGACCAGGGGCTCCTCCCCCAGCTCGGCTGTGCTCCTGTCGCCTGGCAGGGAACGGAGGCTGTCGGACAGCTGTGTTTTGGGGCTTGGGAGAGCTCTTCAGTGAACTCCCTGCCAGCCGGCGCTCTCCCTGCTGACCGTAGCCGAGTTAGGGACAGCACTCACAGATTGTCACAGAGGCCGCACACAAGTGAAGAGCCAGCCGTGGGGACAGACCCTGAGGGCTGCTGTTTCTGTGGGCTGTCGGGAAGGCTTTGCAGCAGAGGGGCAGGGAGCCGCCAGCAGGAGCGGAGTGGCACCCGGGAGCCCCCACCGCAGGCGTCCTGGGCAGTGTTGTCCCTGTCCCCCTGCAGAGCCTTTCCCATGGCCCGCACCCCGGGACAGCAGCTCCCGCTCACCCTACCCCATGCTGTTTCTGCCACAGGCTGGCTCAACTACCCGCTGGAGAAGATGGGTTTCTGGCGGCGTCTGGAGGACCTCATCCAGGGCCTGACGGGCGAGAAGCCTCGGGCAGACGACATGAAATGGGCCCAGAAGATCAAGTAGCTTCTCCAAGTCTGCCGTCTGGTTGCCAACCTTCCTAGCCCCAAACTGAAGCCATCTGCCAAATCCCAGCCTGCTTGAGCTGGCGAGAACACCTCCTGATCTGGGCCTGGGCACCCCGGGACACAGAATACTTGAGCCACTGGTTTTCGATTTCCTCTGTTCATTTTCTTTCCTTGGCCTCCCGAGCTGCTACGCCTGCCAAGCCTGACTGCACAAGAGGGAGCCTGCCCTGCTGGCCGTCCCGGGCAGAGGCGGCCACCCACCCCACACACCCTGCCCTGCCCGCTTTGGGTCCACCTCATCACCTCTGTCTGTCCTTCCTTCTCTGGCCCCAGAGGTCTGGGGAGTCCCCACATCATTATCCCGCCATAGCCCTGCAAACTGATCATGAAAGCCCTGCCTGGGGGGACAGCTGCAGCCACCACCTGTGGCCCAGCGTCTCTGCCCAAGGGTGGCAGCACTCGGCAGGGGTCCAGAAGTGGCTGGAGTCCGGCCCAAGTCCTGACACCCGCTTCTCCTCACCTGCCTCCACCTGCCCGTGTATTCCAGCAGACCTGGCTTTTCTGTAGGGGACCTCTTCACAGCGCAGAACGCCTGTAAAAGGTCTCGGTCATTTGGGAAGAGGATGCTGCCCCTTCTGACCAAGGTGTGTCAGAGGAGGAAGAGTGAGGGTTTTTAATTTTTTTTTTTAAAGGTGCTTGCTTGTTTAATGTAAATAATAGAAAGCCTTAATATCTTTTCTGTAACACGGAGTAATATTTTAATGTCATGTTTTGGATGTACGTAATATATTTATAACAAAGCACCAAGCGTCTCCTTAACCTTGGCTGCCTGTGGTGTTTCCTGGGGGGGGGGTGAGGCTCCCCCAAAGCAGCTGTGGCCCCAGGATGGTCGCCTTGTCACCTGAGACTGAGTCAGTACTAACATGTGCTTCCAGCACTTTGGGAGAAGACCCCGATCATGCGGGACTGGGCCCTCGCGAACATCAAGACAGAGTAACAAAGGCTGACTCGGGCTGAAAAATCCCTTAGCACCTAAGATGTGCCGGGCTCAGGCCTGGACACTGGGGCACCAGGATTTGCTCTGGTGGAAATGACCAACTGGGGAAAGAGAGTCAACATCATAATGCACATGGAGATCCGGACGGTCATTTGTGAAGAAAGTCAAGCAAGATAGAACCACACTGGAAAAGCAGGGTGGGACTGTCAGGCAGAGGCATTTCTGTTGCCATAGTTGCTGAGACCTACAGGAGGTGGAGCCAGCAAATGAAGAATGGGGAGGAGCCTCTTGATGTTACAGGAAGTGCAAAGGTCCTGAGGTAGGAATGTGCCTGGGGAGGCTAAAAGATGGTGACACTGGACTAGACTAGGGAAAGTGGAAGGTGCAGGTAGAAAAATGGGGTTCTTACAGAGCCTCACAGGCAGAGAGGTCCAGCTGCTAGATCTAAAAGACAAGTAACTTATTTTTTTGACCAAGTAATTCTAAGACACGTATGGGCCAGGAGCTGGAATTCAGTAGTGGACACTACACACTCGGTATCTAGGCTGGGAGTGCAGGGCAGAGGTGAAGCACTTGCCTGATGTGGGCAAACCCTGGGTTTGAGCTCACAAACTGGGCTAATGCCTGCAGCATCATTACTTAGAAGAAAGTGAGCCTTGGTGGTGCTAGGAACAGGAAATTTTTAGAACTCCATAGCAGCCACAGATACAGCATTTATTTATTTTTTTAAAATGTGACCCAGAACTTCATTTTCCGTCCAGTTTGCCCACCAGTAGACTTGTTACTGAGGAAGGGGGATTAGAATTTCTCGGCTCCTAAGTGACAGAAAATTAAGGCAGGAATGAATAGCTAGAGTAACAGTACCCAGGCCTGAGGGCACACACCTATAATCCTGGGAAGCTGAGGCAGGAAGAGTGCCATGAGTTTGAGGCCAGCTTGGGCTACATAGTTCAAGGCCAGCCTGGACCACACGGTGAAACTGTCTCAAAAAATAAAAATAAAAATAAAAAATAAAATAACAGCTCATAAAAAACAAAAGTGCACAGGTGGTTTTGACTTAGGGTTTGGCAGGATGAGAACGTGGTCTCTGCTGAGTTTTTCTGAGTTGAGACAACATTGCTTCAACTTACGGATCTCCGAAGTCTTCCTCACATCGCTTAGTTACAGTGAAAGTCCCAGGGCAGGCTCTCATTGGCCTGGAATGGGTCATGTGTCTGCCCCTGGATCAGTCACCTTGGCCCAAGGGGCATGCACTGTTCTGATTGGCCTGAGCTGAAATGGGTCCACTGTGGTTGCAAGAGTGGGATCAGCCCTCCCCGAACAATGGGAGGGAGGGAGCTGCCAGGAAGAGAAGGAGTTAACTACAAAATAGTATATGGTGATGGGACAAGCAACCACCCTCCAGAGGGGCCAGAAGAGCAATCTCGGAGGCAGGAATTGGCTTCCTGTTCCCGGGTCCTGTTGACCTGTGCCAGCTGCCTGGAGCTGGCAAAAAATCTCAGCTAGGGTCGGGGATTTAGCTCGGTGACACTGCACATGCCTCACAAGTGCAAGGTCCTGAGTTTGATCCCTGGTACAAAATATATATATATATATATTAGTTTGAGCCCAGAGAGAAAGGTTGAAACAAGGTCCCACAGTTACCACGGAGGGAGCTGGGCCTGAAACTCTTATCTTGCATCTCCTGAATACTTTGCCAAACAAGAGGAAATGTTCTGCTTTGGTTAGAGGGAGTTGGGGCCACCTATGAGGTGGGACTTGCACAGCCAGAGGGGGAGATGCTACTCAGTTTCTACCGAATAATGACCACACTCCAGACTAGAGACCTCTGCACAGGTCCCATAAGCAGCCCTGCAAGCCAGGTGTGGTGGTGCACACCTGTCATCCCAACACTCGGGAGGCTGAGGCAGGAGGATCGTCTTGAGGTCAAGGCCAACCTGGACTACATAGTGAGACCCTGGCTTAAAAATACAAACAGGCTGGGGATTTGGCTCAGTGGTTCTGCCGCCTGCCTCACAAGCACAAGGGCCTGAGTTCGATCCCCGGTACCAAAAAAAAACAAACAAGCAAACAAATGCAGTCTGTGCAGCTCTAAGTGACTACTGCTGGCACCATTTGCAGATGGGTAATTAGGCACGCACGAGGTCCTGTATCATCCCACACAACTGCTAGGTGGCTGAAGGTACAAGCAGAACCTTGCACTTATTACACTCATCCAGCTGCCCAGTGGAGGGGAAGGTAAGGCAGGTGACAAGTGAGAAATGTGTCCTTCGGGAAAAACATCAGCCACTTGAGAAGCGGCAGCTGACTGGGAGACCAGGATGACCCAGAGACACCAGGGCCCAGAGTTCAGGGTTACTCGTATCAGCTAAAAGAAAGGAGCCACACGTCATGCTGCAAACCTATAGTCTCAGCACTCTGGGAGGCTGAGGCAGGAGGATAACAAGTCCGAGCTCAGCCTGGGCAACTTAGAAACCTTGTCTCAAAATTTTGAAAAAGAGGGGTGGCGTGGTACTTTGCACGAGGTGGGAACAAAATGGAGGATTCGTCCTCCCCGAAACAGTCGGCTTTAGCCGCCACCTCGACTCCGGCAGAGCTGACCTCCCTAGAGCAGCTGGACAAAGAGCAGATTAGAAAGGCAGTGGAAGCTTTGTTGACGCATTCTAAATCCAGGAAGAACAAAAATGGATTGCTTTTGAATGAAAATCAAAATTTGTTTTTAATGGTGATATTATGGAAAATTCCAGGAAAAGAACTGAGAGTCAGATTGTCCTTGCCTTATAATATTCGATCAGATTCTTCGGAAATCTGCTTATTTACCAAGGATGAACTCGAGGCAACTGAACAGACAGAACGCTTCTATAAAAAGCTTTTGAACAAGCATGGAATTAAAACAATATCTCGGATTATTCCTTTCCAAACTTTGAAAACAGAATATAAAGCCTATGAAGCCAAGCTCCACCTCCTGAATAGTTTTGATCTCTTCCTTACTGATGAAAGAATTAGGCGGCTTTTGCCCTCACACATAGGAAGACATTTCTACCAAAGGAAGAAAGTTCCAGTACCTATAAACCTTAAGGCCAAGAATTTATCAAAAGAGATCAACAGCTGTCTAGCTGGGACTGTCTTAAACATCTCCAAAAGTGGTTCTTGCAGTTCTATACGCATCGGTCACACTGGAATGCGGGCTCAACACATCACTGAAAACATTGTTGCTGTGGCAAAGAGTCTTTCAGAAAAATTGCCGGAGAAGTGGAAAAGTGTGAAACTCCTGTTCGTGAAAACTATGAAGTCGGCTTCCCTTCCCATCTTTTCATCATTTATTTCTTATCGGAATGCAACCAACAAAATCTCCATCAGTGAACTGAAAGAAAAAGAAGCAAAGAGGAAAAAAAGAGAGGAAAAATATCGTGAAAGGCAGAAGCTGAAGAGGGAAAAACAAAAGTTAAAGTTAAAAGCTCAGAAGGCCGCGTCAGTCCTAATTAAAGGTCGTCTGACATTTAAAACCAAAGGTGCTTCTGTGAAGAGCCGTGGGTCCCAGAAGAAAAAAACCGGCAAAGTGAAAACCAAAGTTAAAGTGAAAAATGAATCTGATGATGAAATTCCACAGCTGGTACCAATAAACAAGACTTCAGTAAAAGAAAAAGTTGAGGTGCAAAAACCTGTCACAGGGAAGAAGTCTCCAAAAAAGAGTCCTGGTCCCAATACACCTAAGGGCAAGAAGAGAAAGGCCCTGCTGGTTCCTGAGACCCCAGGTGCAGGTCCAGGGAAGAAGCCAAAAATAGGACAGAAGAAGAAACAAAGAAAACACTCACCAGGGAAGAAAGATCTGAGACAGACTCCAAAAAAGCCAGAGGCCAAGCTCTTTCCTACTGCTAATAATTCTACAAGGAACACTCCCCACACCCCTAAACAATCACCAAAAAACCCCAGAGTGCCCCAGCCAACCTAAAATCACTGACTCAACCAGAAGAAAACAGCAGTTACCTGAGGACTGTTGGAAAATCCTTGGGTCCTGGATTGGAGGTGTAGCTTGCAGTAGAGGACTTGCCCAGCATGTACAATGCTATGGGCTCAGTCCTCTGCACCATTAAGAAGAAATGAGTAAAGGGCCGGGGATTTAGCTCAGTGGTTTCGCCACCTGCCTTGCAAGCACAAGGGCCTGAGTTCAATCCCCAACATGCCCCCCAAAATAAATAAGTAAAAGAAAAACATGGGTCCTGATCCACCATTGCAACCTTCTTCAAAAATGAGGCCTTGGCCAGGGATTTAACCCAGTGGCATGGCACCTGCCTCATAAGCACAAGGTCCCAATTTCGATCCCTGATACCAAAACAAAAATGAGGCCTGGATGGATATAAATATTTTAGAATCTCCACAGGTAACTCCTGCAAGTATCTGGTTATAAGAAACACTGGCTAAAGGGTATTTTTAAATTGTTCTTTTGTTTAATTGTTAATGTCAGGCAAAATGAATGCTTTATGTTTGTGACTTTTTTTATTAAAGTGTAATGTTTGCTTCTAATTAGATACACTGTTGGCATTCCAACTCTCAGCGGTTTGACTTAAAGGGTTATGATGTGATTCATTTCCTCACACTAGCTTTCTGCCCCTTCTATACACTAGCTACTGGGATTAGGGAAGGCAGTGCCAAATCAGTGGACTGATTGAGTAATCACATACCCCTACTCCCAGCATCACACACTGTAGACCCAGCCACCTCTGAAAAAGCCCCACCTGTGACTGCAAGAGGCTTTGGAGAAACATCAGTACACCAGCCATAACTACAGTGGTTTGTGAATTGTTTTACACCATATAAATATTGTCAATTTAAAAAAAAAATTTTTTTTGAAAAAGAGTTGGAGATCAATCTCAGTGCCAAGTCCCAGGGCTCAATCCCCAGTACTGCCAAAGTGTGGCAGTAATGCAGATTTTTTACAACGAAGGCTCCATGTTTAAAACATACCGTGGGCAAAATAAAACAGGTGCCTATGCCAACCCTGCGACCGAGGGGGTGGTGCCTGGATGGCCCGGTTTCAGGTATGCCTGTGCTGCCCTCTGGTGGCAGAACAGGGTAGGTAACGTGCAGCGCGAACATGTTGCCTCCCAGGCTGGGCCCTGCTTCTCAGAGGGGCCGCAGGTGCAGGCCTCAGGCCGTCAGCCCCCAGCGTTAACCCAGCCCTATGGATAATAGTTCACCCACCTTTTGCTCATCGGTTTGTAAGCGGTGTTACCTACATAAAAGAATAGGAACCAAACCACATAAGAGGGGCAAGAGGAGGAGTGAAAATAGAAGAAGAAAAGAAAAGGAAAAAAAGCTTTTGTACAAAGGGAGGGGTGGGGGCTTGAGGAGAGGTAATGGGATAAATTTTATTTTAAAAATTAAAAAATAAGCCGGGCGTGGTGGCACACGCCTGTAATCCCAGCACTCGGGAGGCTGAGGCAGGAGGATCGCTGTGAGTTCGAGACCATCCTGGACTACATAGTGAGTTCCAGGTTAGTCTCAACTACACAGTGAGACCCTGTCTCAAAACACCCAAATAAATTAAAAAAAAAACAAAACAACAAAAACTTGCCATCCTCTTGCCTCAGCCTCCCAGGATGCTGGAATTACAGGCATGTGCCACCAAGGTTGGCTAACAAGCGTTTCTTAAATGTTTATGTGGGGTGGGTATTTTACAACACTCGCCCTTCAGATTTCAGGGTCCCTCGTAAAGCTGACTGGCGCAGCCACACCCATTCATTTGCCTATTGTCTGTGGCTCTTGCTTGGTAGCAACAGAGGTAAACAAATGGTTACAACACAGACCAACCAGGGACAAAGCTAAAATATTTACTCTCTGGCTCTTTTACAGGGAAAGCTTCCCACCCCTGGTCCAGAGAAGAGTAAGGTCCCCCCAGCTGTGTTCCCCCGGCCCTCCATCCCCTTCCAAGGCCATCACTTTGACAAGACCCCTGCGTGTCCCTTAGGGAAGCCCCGAGAGGGCCACACACACCCCTCTCCCACACCTCGCAGACATCGTGCATACAGTCCCGCATTTCCTTTCCTGTTTTTCATTTAACGTACTTTGGGGGTAGTGTTCTTTTTGGCTTTTGGGGATAGGGGGAGCCTCCCTTTGTAGTTCAGGCTGGGCTTTCTCTCACTGTGTAGCTCAGGCTGGCCTCGAACTTGCAGGGATCCTCCTGCCTCAGCCTCCCCAGTGCTAGGGTCAAAGGTGTGCACTGCCACGCCCAACTTGGAGATGTGTTATCATCAATAATCAGGTAATTTCCTTATTCCTTTTCAACTGTGTAACATTCCATTGTCGGAGCAGACCTGATCTTTTGTTTATCTGAATTGAACCCCACTTTTTATTTTTGAGATAGGGTCTCACTAATGCCCAATCTGGCCTCCAAGAAGCTGGGATCACAGATGTGCACCACCGCGCCAGGCTTCCTCTGCATTTTTAGAATTCATCTCATTGGGTGTTGAGGTTTTCAGGTTTGGGTTTTACAAACTGAGCTTACAGGCAGCAGAGCACTTGGTCTTTGCTCACTGGGGCCTGTGGATCCGAAGGCCCACTTCCTGGAACCTGCTGCATCAGGGTCAAAGGCTGCTTGTGATCTAAGCTCACAGCAGCCTTCCGCTGCAGCTCTACAGTTTATCCTCAGCTCAGGGAGCCTGTTTGCCAGCACGGTGTTCTCAGGTGTGGAGCCCTCCGCCGTCTGATAGGTGGTTTTCGTCTGCATTTCTCCTCCTGTACTTTACTGAATCTAAGAGGCCTTGAGATGCGTCCTGATTTCGATGTTTGAATGCAGAAGTTGCATCTTAGAATCACTGAAATACAACATGTGAGTGAGACTGAATGTCTTATTGTGAGTTGAAAAGTCATTTGTATCTCCTTCCTATGGTCACGTTCTTTTCCAGTTTTCCTGGGAGAGAGCGCAGTAGTGTTTAAGGGCATGGGGTTCAAATCCCAGCTCTGCCACTCATAAGCTTGTGACTGAGTTATTTAGCTGTCCTGAGTCTCTTTTGCCTTAAGAGTAAATAAAAGTAAATAGGGAGACTAGGGTACTGTGCTTGTGAAAATGCAAAGCACCGTATTCCTGGAAGGCAGTAAATGCTTGATACACGTTTGCGATGATTATTATCTTTTGGGAGGTTTTTGGTTTTCTTTTCTGTTCTTTTTCTTTCTTTCTTTCTTTCTTTCTTTTTTTCTTTTCTTTTTATGGTGTTAGAGTTTGAGCCCAGGGCCTTGTGTGTGCTAGGCAAGTGCTGTACCACTGAGCCACAAGCCAGCACTATCTATTTTCTTTTTCTTTTCTTTTCTTTTTTTCTTTTTTTTTTCTTTTTTTTGAGAAAAGGTCTTGCTATGCAGTTTAGGCTGGGCTTGAACTCACAGGCTGGCCTCAAACTCGCAGCAAACCTTCTGCCTCAGCCTCCCAAGTGCTGGGCTGACAGGTGTGGCCCACCACACCCTGCCATCTATTTTCTTAATGAGTTGGAAGAACTCTGTAATTCTGCCTCTGTCACTCCCCTGGCTCCCACCCTGACCGAAAAGTAACAAACGATACAAAATTCAGACATTGGGGAAATCAATTGTGTAAGGCAAAAGCTGGGCTGGGGCTCAGGGGTAGTTGATGTGCTTAGAAAAAAAAAAAAAGAAAGAAGAAGAAAAGAAAGAATGAACCATGCCCTTCTTCACTTGCTCCCAGCGCTTTGTGATTGTGTGTTTTATTTTAACCCCACATAGTGTCTCAGTAGGAGCTGGGCATGGTAGCGCATGCCTGTGGTCTCAGCACTCTGGAGGTTGAGGCAGGAGGATCGCTGCAAGGTGAGGCCAGCCTGTCTCAAAACAAACAAACAAGCGCTATAGCATGAGGTTAGGGTTTTTCCTTTCCTTAATTACTAATTGGGAATGTAAACATATTGTGGGAAAAATTATATATTTTGTTTTTGTTTTTTTGAGTCAGGATCTTGCTACATAGTCCAAGATGGTCTCGAACTCACTGTGTAGCCCAGGCTGGTCTCCAACTCGTGGCGATCCTCCCGCCTCAGCCTTCCCAGTGCTGGGATTACAGGTGTGCACCATCACACCAGCTGTGGAGAACATTATATAATTTTAGGTGTTTACATTGTTGTTTGTTTGTTTTGGTACTGGGGCTTGTACTCGGGTCCTTGTGCTTGAGAGGCAGGCAGCGGCACCACTGCGCTAAATCCCTGGCCCTGTTTTTACATTTTTAAATATACTTTCTTTCAAATTACCCATGTCTTTAACATCCAGAAACTCTCAAACAGCCCACCTTGTTTGAACATAAATTTTAGGGTTTTTGGTTTGTTTGGTACTGGGGACCAAAGGTGGGACTTTGTGCTTGCAAGGCAGATGGTGGCACCTCTAAACTAAATCCCTGGCCCTGAACATAGTCTTTTTGGGGATTATTGTTTTTGTATTTTTGAGACAGGGTCTCGCTATATAGTTCAGGCTGGCCTGGAACTCATTATGTAGCCCAGGCTGGCCTTGAATTTGCAGCAATCCTCCTGCCTCAGCCTCCTGAGCACTGAGATTACAGGTGTGCACCACCGCAGCCAACCTGAACATAGGTTTTTGTTTTTTTCAAGATAAATTCCAAAGGTTTATTGCACCAAGTGTTTTGTTTTTGTACTGGGGATCAAACTCAGGACCTTGAGCTCACAAGGCAGGCATAGTGCCACTGCCCTAAATCCCCAGATGAACATAGTTTTTGAATGAATGCTTGGGACAATCAAATCTGTAGTTTGTGAAGTGGACCACTGGGCCATCTTCCTGTGTCGATTACATGTTTTCAGGCTGTACAAACTCCTGCCTTTGAGAACAGACTAAGGGAGGGACACTCACACTCTGCCTTAAGATGCGCATAGGTAATCAGCCCCGGATTCCTTCAGCATCTCAATCACACCCTCCAGTACCTGGCTCTTGCCATCTTTCTGTGCTGGCACCGTCAGCTTTCTGGTGAGACTTGTGCCTCATAGTCTCGTTGTGGTTGCCACAGCTCAAACTATCACAACCTCATATTATACAAAGAAGGAAACAAGAGAGAACAGGCTTTCTTCCCCAGCCTTTTTCTTTTTATCCAAAATGTGTTTATTGGATCGGCTTCCTATTCCTCTTGACTCAGGGTACCGTTAGTGTCGCTTGCTCCCCCTGGAGGAGCATC